TTTGGCCCATACATCCACATATTTTAACATATGGTTCGGCAATTACATACATTGGTGCAGCACATTGGATGTTTAACATAAATTGGACATGCACGCCCACATACACGCATGCACGCACGCACGCACGCACGCACGCACACACACACGCACGTGACGCACGCACATACACATTCCTACTCACACACATACTTACATACGTACATACGTACATACGTACATACATACATACATACAGCCAGAGAGAGAGAGAGAGAGAGAGAGAGAGAGAGAGAGAGAGTGAGTTTAGCGTAACTTTAAAGGAAAAATTGATTTCCAGATAATTTTTACTAGGCTTATCTAACCAGCACTGCCCCACGGGAATTGGAATTTAGCGTAGTACGACCGGGCTTATTCCAAGGGCCTTACGGTTACACCTCCTCGGCCTTAGCAAAGAATCTTTTCTAGATCTAGAAGTAGAAGAAAAGAAAGTTTGGTCATATCCGCAGAATTCCATTAAGTGTAGAATTCTGTGGTCAAAGCCTTGCCTAGTCCTTGGTAAAAACTAAAACTTCTAAAACAAAAAAAACATCAAAAACCAAACAATAACATAGAAGTGTCTCCTTTTTAAACTCTCTTTGGTAGCCTAAAGACACAGAATTCTACACTTAAGTGTAGAATTCTGTGCCTAAAGCAGGCCTAAAGACAAAAATCTTTTTACTTAACTTTTGGGGCTGAAGAGTAGACTAGCGATGGAACTATTTTTGACCCAAATTCACCTGGATAGGCCTATAAAATATTTTTCCTTCTTCGATATTTACCTTATTTTATCATTGTTAACAAACTTTATTCGGGCAATACGATAAAAAAAGTAATTCTAGCTTTGAAATACATATTTTTTACAGTTTTGAAAACACAGAGCTTGCTATAGTGCGGGCTATTTTTTGTTAATCGAAAGCAGGTGTGTATAACACCTGAAAAAGACACAGGTAACTGCCTAAAGGTGGTTATGCGGCTGTAGAATTACTACTGGCGGAAGTGAAGTTTTGTTGTCGGAACAAACTTGTGGTGCGAATGTGCCAAGATCAAACTGAATGGGAAATCATGGAATCTCATACTAGTTGTGTTGTACTAATCGTTGCTGCCATCATCAGCACAGCTTACTCTGAAAGACGTAAGTCAAAGTGGAGCTACAAATGATTTTATACTTTGTTCGTAGGGTCTTCCATTTGTTAGGGTTCGAACACAGACAGCCAGTTTTCAATCGTGTTTCTTCACTTCCTGAAAGTTTGTAAATGCCAATCACAGGCCCACTTAATTTTATTAAATATTTATAGGCTAAGATAAAATTCAACAAGTAGACGTAGAACGGATATATAATCTGAAGCCATAGAGTAATGAGAAATGCCTGTCACCCCCTTCCCTCCTCAAGATAACATGCACTGAACACCCACAAGTTAGGCTATGTAGCGTTGTTAGCATTTCATTAGTCAGATTTCTACACCTTACTCAGAGTTGATTTTGTAGTTTCGTTCATTTTCTAAGTCCAAAGCTGAACGCCAGAGACCCTGAATTACCAGGTAGGCCTAATCGTTGAGGAGTGAACTAAGCTTTGAGAATGGAAGGAAACAGTAAAGCCAGAAAACCAAAATGCAAGCAAAGAATGGCGCTTTTTTTTCGGCAGTTCCCACTGGCCACTCACCCCCCAATTCGCTGGTTTGGGCCCCAGGAGTCAAGAGTGGGGGTTCAGGAGCTTGACCCCCTGGCGTAGTATAAGTTAGAGGGGGGGGGGGGGGTTTCAGGGGGGATTTTACAATAATTTGATGTTTTGCAGAACTTTAGATCTAGGTTGCATCCCTGCTCTTTATGACCTATTTGGTCATCAAGACTTCCGTATTTTTTCTCTGGATGTAAACAAATGGACCGTGGACTTTAACTCTTGTCCTGCGTCTGTGCTGAGATGCGAATCTTATCAGCAACCAATTACTTCGGACGTTTTGGGCAGGCTGCCGGGGTCACTCAGTGTGTACTGTTGGTGTACAGTGCACGCGCCGGGAAAATTGTGTTTTTTGCCATGAATACCGTGGGAGTGTGTTAATCAATTATGGAAATAATGCTCTATCTTTCATAGCTTTCTATTTATAAAGTGTTACAAACATGACATGAATAACCCCCTCTCACAAGCTGATAAGACATTACGAGTAGTTTTGCCCATACACCTTTCTAGACGCTCTTATATGTTGTTATGAATGACCTGAGGTTCAAAAGGGGATAATAAAGGTCAATTTCCGAATGTTTTGCACTCAAATTGTTCTTTGTACCTGCACAATGGTATTCAAAACTCTCACACAAGCTTATTTTTTATCAGGTAGTATCATTTCATACAAAATCAAGCTCATTTGAAAGATTTTGTCTAGAAAAATGGAAGTCTTGTTTCCTGACTATCCTTTCGAGCTCCTCGACTAAGTTGGTCAATTTCTTCTATAATTTCATTGGACGAACATCTAGAGCTACCAACTTGGCGTGTTTTGAATGAGACGTATGCCTCGATTACGAACCAATGCAGGCGGTTCTAGAACTTAGAAGAAGGCCACAAATGCACACAAACTCAAGCAGACTGACGCACATACACTTGACCTGCGTGAATGGGGATCCGATTCGGGACCCGAATTTCACGTAAGATGATGCGCAGTGTGCGTGCGCTGAGCCAGGGACTAGACTGATTCGGGACCAAAATGCAGGCGAGGTGCCGAAATAGGGTGAAAACATAGAGAACGCCGATTTCGGAGACTGACTCAGTAAGCGCTGATAGGTATAAAAATTCCCTTCTATGATTTCCAACTTGCCCCACATAGAGCTAGCAGACTGCAGGCGGCTTTAAACTCGGATCGGCTTTGTCGGCTTTATTGGAATCCAAACTACATTCTTATTACGCCAAAAAAGTGGGAAGGGTGTCTCGCTGTCAACTCGCGACCGCAGTGCTTTCTTGTCGTATCTCCATTTTTTAACAGTGAAAATGTGACTTCTTTATAAGCTCATTCTTTGTTGTGAACTGCTTTCACTGTTATTAAAAATGGAGATGCGACAAGAAAGCACTGAGGTCGCAAACTCTCAATGCCGTCTCGCCATCACCAACTCGGGTTGAGCGGTTTGCGTGACGTCACCCAAATGGACAGGCGACAATTTTAAATGGCCATTTCAGAGCTGGTGCTTCACGGTAGACAAAATCTTATTACATTTTTTAAGTCAGCGTTGTCAAATTAGGATGGTCACAGAGCAGAATTACATTTTAAGCAATATTTTAGGAAGTTTGATTTTTTTTATCCCCAAATAAATGCTTCATAAATACCAGCTGTGTTGTGGTGTATTTTTTTTCTCATTATATCTATATCTAGGCTTTAGGCGCCCTCTATGTGGAGTCAAGCAGATACCTACTGGCGCCTGTCTGCGTCGATCTTCAGCCGCTTAAGTTTCGGCGTTCTTTATGTTATCGCCCATAGGCTTATCAGGCGACATAAACCCAGCCCCCGCGAGACGAGGGTTAATGAACGGAACCACAAGATCACCAACTCAGACTGTAGAGCACAAGCGGCTGGATAGCTGCTCGACTAGAGAACGACAACTAAATGCCATTGGTCGATATTTGTAGTGACAGCCATCTTGTTTGACCTCGCAAGGGGGATGCCCGCCGCGTCATCTGATTGTATTGGTTGCACTGGCTGACTTCCCTCTTTGAGTTTTTCCTAGTGGTTCCCCCCTAGTATACTGCTTTTGCACCTCACAGTATCCATTTGCAAACCTTGCAGCCGTGAATTAAATTAGATCTAGAATCTATTCCACTTGCAGCTCAGCGTCCTATTGAGTCCAATCTCTTGTTAGTAGTGCTTAATTTCTTGGCTGTCGTTATTCTCACCGCGTGTGAAAATAAAAATATAGATCTAATTTTATTCTCACCCATGGGGAAAATAATATTTATTGTTATTCTCACCCCGCGTGAGAATAAAATGAATATTATTCTCACCCGGTCTGAGAATGCAATGGATTTTTAGGCCTACCTGGGATGATAGAAAATAATTTGTAAATTGTAAGAGAGTGACCTTTCGTGACCTGCCCCAGAGTGCTGGCCGATTTTTCTAGGCTTCCGCGGGGATTGTTATATTGTTTCATTAAAAAAAATTTTGAGTGAGAGTATGCACGCATATCTTCACCAAAACCCTTGACACTTGTGTAAATATATTCTAAATTCAGAAAGGAATTCACTTGCCAGAGTAGTATGTTTTAAAAAATAATATAATAGCTTTAACTGAAAGCTGTTTAGTAAAATAATGTTAGTATAATAATTTGTCATTTTAATGTTAGAATTGGCATTAATTTGTTTACAACACCAAAAAAACATGTTTAATTGTTATCCCTAGCGGAACCCACGATTATTTTTAAGGAACACAGTGCCTTGACCCTAGGCTTATTTTTTTCTTAATTTTGATTGGTTAAACCATTCAAGAGTAAAATTTTCCTTTACTTACAGACCCAATACATATTAATACAGTGGCAACTAAAGGTAATGCTATTTGGTCAAAAGATAAGGTTTTCCCCCAAATCTACAATAGTCGCCTCCCACGCTCGAGAGCTGGCTTGCCCGTTGGCGTTTTTAGTCACCCCACACCTTGCGGGCTCAGCGAAGTGAGAGAGGGAGGCGAGTTTTGTCGTCTTGAGCGCTCAGTGACAGGGGTCCTGTGATGCCCGAAACGAAAAAACCGGGGGAGAATAGTAGGCTGTCGTTATTCTCACCTGGGGTGAGATTAGTATCAATTTTATTCTCACCCGGAGTGAGAATAATTTCCAGCTTATCCTCACCCCGGATGAGAATAATCACTAAGTAATTTCTTGTGCTTACAAAGCTTTAAAAGAAATGATCCAGATCAAAATGGTGGATCATTTGCACTGCGTCGTTGAACTTTGTTTGAACATGCTTTCTTACGTAGGACTACTCTTAGTCTTCTTCTTCTTCTCAGTTTACGTAGTGTACACCATCAGAATTAATCTGGGCGGAAGAAGGGTGTTGCACCATCACAGACAACCGAACCGAACAGTTCTGCAAGTTGCTAAATCCAAGTCGGCAGGCTGCTGTCGTGTGGTCGTGTTGCCACCATGACTGACAAAGTTGTAATACCTCAATGACGTCAAACAAGATAATGGCTGTTACTATAAATATCGGCCAATGGCGTTAAGTTGTCGTTCTCTAGCTGTCCGCTTGTGTAGCTTGCCTTGTTGACAATGTTACTACTACTAGATTGAGGCCCTAGCTTGGGGTCATTGTCTCAGTCTAGGTACCTCATTGATTTTGTCAAAATTAACTTTCACAAGTCAAGGCCTGTTGAAAATAAAAAAACATTACTAGCATCTTTATCATATTGTATGGTCCACCTAAATGTTCAGAAAAGAATGAAGTTACAGTATTAATTCATGATAGATGAGTAAAATTTAGGAAAAAAATTTTTTTATGACCCCCCAGCACATTTAACCCTTTGAACCCTAAATCTTGAAATTTCTCAAATCTCTATCCCTGGACATTTTTCGCAAGTTTCATCACAGTTCACTGTGTTTTGGGGGCACATAAACAAAAAGACTGAGGGGAAGAACATGGAGAAATAAACATGTCTGTTCCATCTGTTGTTTAGCCTACCTTATTCCAAGGTGGAAATATTGTAAATAAAGAGAGTACTTTTGACAGACTACACAACTCAGGGTAATCCGTGCCCCGGTGAACCGGCCTTATGGTATACAGCAAAATATTACAGGTTCAAAGGGTTAAAAACTTTATTAGGATCTTGCACTTGTGGAGAAAATTGGTCCGGAAAGTCTCCATAATCCATCTTGCGGTGTTGTTAATAGTTAATCAATAGACCTAGGCTGAGTCATTTTGTAAACAGTTAAAACAGGCACAGCTATTCTCACCCTCGGTGAGAATAAAAATACGGTCGATCTCTCACCCCGGGTGAGACTTGCCAGCGTTGGCTATTCTCACCCGGTGTGAAACAAGACCTGTTTTTCCTTATTTTTGAAAGCTGTCTACGGTGTGACAATGACAGTTTCAATTTTTATTCTTCTCGCAGGGAGAAATTTCTCTTGGTTGTTAACAATGGCAGTAGATGTTACAAAGGTCTGGTGTAAACACAACCTTGTCGCTGCAGGAGCGGCGCCAAAATAAAAATAATAAATTATGGATGATCAAACTGCAAAAACAAAGAAAAAAATGATGCTACATCATAAAAGTAAACTAATTTGGTTGTCTTCAAAGAGGCTACGGCTATTTCACTTCTGAAATCAAGCCGAACTACACCGGTCGCCGTTTTGTTTTGCCCAGAGGTTCTCGCTACTCCTCTTTCTCTCTCTCTCTCTCTCTCTCTCTCTCTCTCTCTCTCTCTCTCTCCCTCCCTCCCTCCCTCCCTCCCTCCCCCCCTCTCTCTCTCTCTTTCTCTGCGCGCAGACAAAATTGCACGGTTTCAACACAAGAGTGCTGGAATGCTTGTTTACACTGGTATGTATCACCACGGTGAACGCACATCGGGTGATGATAGCCAAAAGGCTCGCTTTCTCTCCCGGAGTAATGGGCCTGAGCCGATGCTCTCAGCGGTGAACGCACACAGGGTACGAATAGCAGGAAGATTTGCCCTGTTACCCCTACTACTGTCTAGAATAGAGGTGGCCTTTTTTTATATTATTTCCCTGGAAACTACTTTTAAAAAAAACAATTTTTGGTGTCTCTACTGTCAAGGATCAGTAGATTTTTCACCCTCAATCTCTTCTTCCCATACGGTATGTTAGCCTACTTCTCTCCTAATCTCTGGTCTTCTGTTCTCAATAATAGTCATGATCTTTCTCTAGATTTACAATGATTAGCATTAGTTTTAGGCATTCCTCTGCTCAGAGATGGCTGGTGTTTTGTAGAACTGCAATGACTGGTTGAAATTCATTTTGACACCTCCCCCCCACCAAACCACACACACACACACACTCACACACAGAACCATAGAACATTGCTAAAAGCACGAAAGAACTATTAATAAAAAAGAATCTGTCACTGGACAAGATTGGAAAATATTTCTCAGTAGAAAGAAGACATGGAAAAAGATATGGGGTAGAACAGTCTGTTCAGTTTTTTTCATAAGGTTCTTTAGGGGGCACTCATTCAAAGGTCCAGGGTTCGAATCCAGGTAGCAACTGAAAAATTTTCTTCTCCAAAATTGTTTCCTTTCACTTTCTTTCCTGCTCTCTAGCTATTTTCTGTCATCTGCTTTCGTGACGAGTTGTGAGCGCCGTAAAACACTTAAAAACAACAAAAATGTCCTTTTTTAAAAGATATTTTACGGCGCTCGCAACTTCAGATCGTCATATGAACGCGCGGGACGTGCTTAACATTTTCAGTTGGTAGGAAATTTTGAATTTTGCCGAGGTGGTGGCCGAAGCCTACTGTTTCCGATTTTGGACCTCCAAGGGATCTTTAACGTGTGCAACTTGCACATGAGACCTCAGAATTTTTCGCCTTTGTCGGCTCAGAAGGCTAGGTGTAGGTCTTTCCTGCCGTAAGATCAGGGGTATGGCTGAAAGACAGCAGCAAGAAGGAGCCAAGGAGTAGCAGTAGAAAGGCTGCAGAAAGCGTCAGGAGCCCAGAAGAGCAGGCAAAGGAGGTGACGGGGTGGTGGCAGAAAGTGGAGACGAAAGCAGATGACAGAAAATTATAATAGCTAGAGAGCAGGAAAGGATATGAAAGGCGAACACGTTTCGTCGCTATCAGGATTCGAAACCCATGACCTATTAAATGAGAGGCAAACACCTTAACCTCTTGACCACGAGAGCTTTCCATGGTTCTACTGACGGCTTATGAAACTGCTGTCATAAAGTATGACTGTATATAAACTTATGTAAACTAACTCAGTGAACTTGTGTTGCGTTGTACATGACGTTGAATTTTGGGAAAAGAAATTGATACGTTCGGAGATTATGGTCTTTTTCTTTTATTTCTCGTCCTTTAAAAAAACAAAAACAACTTCTTAATTTGCCAGCATGATGTAATTTGAATAATGTAGGGTCTTTGCTCTTTCTCTTTTTTAGGCTTACCTTTCCTTGTCATTTTTACATGCGTGCCATGTAGTTCTTTTTAATATGTGTACTCCTTACTTACCTTTCAGCCACCCGATGGTGTGTGACGAGCGCAGATGAGGAGATCAAATGTAATCAACTGAAACATGAGCTGGAAATAGCTGTCAAGGAAAACAAGATGATACAAGAGCTTATCCCTCGTCAGTTTCAGTGTGTCAGGACTTTCGATGCGTAAGATGTTTTCTTTGGATAAATTTTGATCTCATAATCGGCAAATGGCTTAGTCCTTGGTGCCTGCTAATATTGGGCTCCAGACTATGTATTTCCTGTTCTTATTTTTCGAGCCTTTTGGCAGGAATTTATGTGGAAGCTTTTTTGTTTCATCTGTCAGATTACAATATAATACAATTTCCTTTTCCTCCAAAAGCATTTCACAACAATAAATAAAGAGTTTTCTTCAAATTTTCTTTTTCTCATTAGTTGAACAGCAGGGATTATTAACGTAAGAAGAATTTATAAACAGAATTTCTTTTTCCATCATTGTCTGTATAAGAAAATATCTTTACTCAGTTGTTTGAAGCCTCGTTTAAAAAAAAATCTTTCATTACTTTAATTTGCATAATTTCAGCTTCAATTGCATGGACATGATAGAAAAAGATGAAGCTGATCTCATCACTTTGGACTCAGGTCAGGGTTATTTTGCTGGAAGACAACACAATATGATGCCCATAATGGCAGAAGACTATGCTGGTTCAGGTGAGGTGTTAAACGATTTTTTTATGATAGAGAGAGATGTGTGGATTAACTTTAAAAATATGGTAGAATAGAATGTTACTGTATGTCACAGCTTCTGTATAAACTCACTCTATACTATTTGCAAGAGATGGCCAGTGGAGTTTGTTTTCAGAAAGTCTTGTCAGATGGCTTCTGGTTAATCTCAGATACTTCAACTCGATAACAATTAAATGAAAAGGTTTGATTCTCCCTTCTGAAACAGCTCTTTTAGTTTTGTAGGGTTGAGGGTAATTTATAAGAATAATGGTTGTTGTTGTTGTTGTTATCGATCCAGCAACAGCTGAGCTCTCGCCCTTCTGTCCAATGCCATGTAGTGATAAGTGCAAATTTGCTGCAGTTGCTGTAATGTTCCATAGAGTGTGTTTTCAATGTTAGGTCTCGGAGGGAGGACAATAATGGTAAAAGTAGTAATTGTAGTAGTGAAATAGTAATAGTTTTTGTACTTCAAGAGATTGTGGTAGTGACGGAAGTAGTGTATAGTTACAATGTAGTCACTGTTATCATGTTCAGTCGAACTTGTCCAAGATGGCTACCCAATTTTGAGAGAAAAAAGTGGTTTGTCTTAGGCAAGTGGACATCTTGGACAGTATCATTATTTTATAACTCACTGGAGACTGAGCCCTTTTCGGGTCTACATGTACGGAAGACTGACATTTTTGGGGATATTTTAACATTTCAAACAACACAATTCCCAAAGACATACAACCACCATTTTTGCACACATAACAGATTTAAACATGCCCAATAGGACACAACAAACAGAATGGCTATATCTTTTTTAGTTTTTTAGAAATGATTTTTTGAAAATGGTAAAATTTGCTGTTCGCCAAAATTTTTTGACGCAATACCTTGTGTGCAAAAAGCACCCAAAACTCCCCAAAAAATCAACCTTATGTTTGTCTTTTGTTGTGTTTGTCTTTTGTTGTGTTTTGTGTTTGTATATGTTTCGAAATGAATAAAATTTTTAAACTCATGAATAGGAAGGTAATCGATATGTGAGGCATCGTGGTGAAATTAGTCGCTCGTCAAAATAATGAAATCGGAGAAACAGGCATTTTCCCTTCAGTTCAGTAATTTTTATCGAATTTTTGCTGTTTAGCTCAACCCATTTTATATTAATATAAAGACATATTTCTGTGTGAATTTTATGAAAAAACGTTGATTACAGGCTCAAAATATGTCATTTTTCAGTTTTCAAGGACTTTTTAGCTAAATGGAAATAACAAACTGTGGAGGTCATTTTCCCGCTGATTCACCACAGAAAACAGGCGACCTCACCTCCTTCAATTGCAAATATCTTGACTTCTATTCTAAACAGATGGGTATTTTTTTCTTTGAAAGCAAGACAAATGAATAAGCTTTCAGGTGATACCAATAACTCCACATTCCCCAAAATTGACGAGTGCCTGATTTCACCGCGTCATTACACATAAAGTAATCTTTATGCATTGGCTGTTTAATCCACTTCAGTGTGTAAAGACGGCTTCAGACAAAGCGGAATGTTGCATTTGTTATTTCGTATATTGAAATTAGAATCCCCATGGTCTGAAATATTATAATCAGAATTTTCTGAACTGTCAAAGTCATCAAACACTTTGAAAAATGTTTGCTTTTCGTGCTACTAAATGGATGGTTAACGGGTGCTCTGGTGTGGTGTTTCCTTCTTTCCTATCAAACATCTATCGTCCTGATCCCTCCTCCTTCTTTTTTGTGTTTGTTATTCTCTTGCAACACCTAATCTTCGGCACTTGAATGACCTTATTGTGTTGCAAGTGTCGTTAACTGAAACTGAACGTGCTGCCATCATACTGACAAAGTGTTACGAGAACAGACATCAGTCAGAGAAATGAAAGTAGGGCCTCAGTGTGACTAACTTTCCTTCCGGCTCGATAACTCAAAAAGTTTCCAGCCAATTCCGGTGAAACTTCACATGAAACGAAAGAAAGGTCGACTGCACGGTAAGAGATGGTTCATGCAGCGTTTGCGCATGTACTTTGCCGAGGACGAAACGTGAAACTTGTGCTCTCAGGGGTGGTGTGAACTGCATCTTGGGAAAATATTGGTGCCTCGTAAATGCTGCGTGAAACGTCTCCAGTGAGTTAAAAAATGTAGATGGGTGGCGTGAATTGGTGGTTTGTGTAGGTGATTGTCTAGGACAGGTGGCTGTCAGAGCATGTTTGACTGTAACTGTTCTGCTGCTGCAGTTGTAGTTAACTGTAGTATGCTATGATGATCGTAATAATTAGCTTTATTTTCACAGTTCCTGGATCAAAGCCATCCTACTATGCTGTGGCATTATTCAGGCAGAGTGATGCTGTGACCCTTTTGAATTTACAGTCCAAAGCAGTCTGCTTTTCTGGTAAGTTTCATTTTGTGCTGTGTTTCCAAAGCAGATGTACGTGAGAAATTAGAGTTAGTTTTTTTTTCCTGCTTCACCCCTGAATAGTTAGGCCTAAGTTTAAGAAAAAAAAACAGTTGTGAATTGTGAGAATAATTTTCTTGATCATTATGATCACTAGATATGATTTATGAAATTGTTCTGACTTTCCAAATGCTTGAATTCCTCCTCCCCCCCCCCCCCCA